CTTGATAATGTTTTTGAGCTACTCGATAACGATTGTAAAGACATACAATAAGACAAAAAGAAAGTTTAAAAACTCAATAGATGAGAAACCACTGAATGAAAGACATGGCTTGTAGGAAGTTAATGCCGAAGTTAAGATTCAGTACAATCACATATCAAGTCAGATGATGACGTAAAGACGACAAACAACAAATCTGATGATCATTCAGCATTTCCAAGAATTGTTTCTACGCAACAATTATCTTTTAAGAAATTTTTGAAAGTTACAAAGGTTAATTTAATTCTAGATAATTAATGTGTGAAATGTCTCCAGATGATTCAATTAAGGAAAGGACAGGATGTTCCATTTCAGTTATTTCATCTTCAAAAGATATCAAGACTTAGCCTCTTACTTCCTAACAATATAGATTCTGAAACTATGCTTATTCTATGCCTCATCGCTGCTGGGTTCATTCTTCTTACTTTCTGTATTGTTTTTCATCATCTACTATACAAAGAGGAGAAAAAGAAAGCTCAAAGTAAGAAAATCTTTTTATCGACTATCAACATTCATATCTAGTAGAGAAACGAGAGCAGATTCGGTTAGCACATCCTACTGTGGCATACATCTGCAACCACGACGTTGAAAGTCCTATTGTCGATTCATTGGACTGGCCTCTTCATATCTAAATTTGGGGATTCTTCAAGTTAACCAAATGAAATGGAATTGCTCTCCCAAAATTATGAGAATATTCGTTTCACCACTGATTTCTGTATACTGTGTGTTTGATGAATAAACTATGAGTTCATGGCATTTGTTCAAAGTCTGGATGCATCTCTTGGCAAGAGATATATTCAATCAAGTGCGCGAACCGTAATTGACATTAACTTTTAGTCGAGAATGTTAATCGAGTTACAGCCTAACGAAGTTATAATTGTTGCCAGGAGATTCATCCAGTCTGGTAAACAAGAAGATCATCTTATTCAAAGAATTCCTACCATCCTGAACAGTTCATTATCGATTCTCTAGAGCCATGGCTTTTCTAAACGATCCTCTCTCAACTACTATTTCGCTATTCATCATAGGATTGTTAGGTATTTCTATGTACTCGGGTGCTCGTATCTACGTATGGTTCAGAGATAGAAAGAATAAAATACACGGTACTATTGTTTATTTTCTATCTTAAAACATGAGAAAGTTTTTCAGCACAACAAGAAACACCGATGGGAGTTGAAGCAAGCAATCCTGGTGTTAACACTCTTCCAGGTATATATTCATGTACGGATGATTTAACTTCAAAAAATGTTCAGTTGATGGTACCATTAAGATCACCAAGCAGAATGAAGTCGCACCTATCGCCTAATCAATTATTCGAAATCATACCTTCATCCAGCTTGAAAAGAAAACTATTTCACATGTTAATTTATATTTTCTCATGTTCTATATACTAAAAAACAATCAATAAACACATTGGATCGTTTCTTTGTTCTTTCCCAATTGTCATTCTGACCAAAAGCAACACCTGATCTTCATTTTAATCCTTTAATTGCTCGCATAATGATATGTTATTCATGAAAGCAAGACATGTAAAGCTCATTATCAAGATAATGAGAATCCGAGGTTCAGTAACTCCCATTGACTAATTGAGATATTGTGTTTAGAAATAGTAATCCGTTGCTTCAAGAGCTCACGATGATCCATTTGGATGAGAATCACTGGCTTGTTAGGAGCATTCTAAACTTCTTTGTTGTTTACAGTAAGTATCACTTCTCTTGTAATGAGAATCATTGTCTTTACAGAATACGTTGTGATGATAGGAATACCTCTGATCTATCTCTTGTGTGTTCTTCATGTTTTTTTCACGAATTTCTGTAAGAGACAGAGTAATCAAATCGAAAACAACAGTGGTGCCATCGAAATGATAGATAGACAGGATCAGCCGCCAGTTTGATATTCGAAGTAGAAGTTGAACATAATGATAATCATATTCAACTGTTGATTGTGCTATGTTGATAATTCAAAAATACGTTTAGATATTTTCTTTGTTTTGCACACATACACTTTCTCACACTCCAAGAAATTTTCCAAGGCAGTAGACAGCAACCATGACAGTGTATTAGAACACACACATTCGCTCTCACACATCCCTTACTGCTAGCTGTCTCCTTTACGTCTCTGTCAGGCCGCGCTGAGCACATAACAGAAAACTCTTCCAAGATTAGAGGCGGCACCGGTATGTTCACATATACACGGAATGAAAAGTACCCGAGTCCATACACTACACGGTTTCACCAATAGTACCCAAGTCGTGTACATGTTTGATTTTTTCAAGTCGTGTATTCTACCGTTCCGTACGATTCAAATGTAGATCTGGACGCTCGCAAGTCCCAGAATATCTATCATTACAATAGATATCCCAAGGACTGGAGTAGATTCCAAGTACGTGTAGCGGTTAACGCGAGCGCACGGAATAGGATCTAACTCATGAATACGATGAGGAACACGAACGTAAGAGAAAAGGTTTATTTAAATATATGAGTTCACATAAAGATAACTACAAGTTACATAAAAGTGTCCTAATGACATAGAAGTTAAGATAAAACGAGTTAGATAGTAATAACGAGTGATAGACATAAGCAAAGGGTAAAGAAAGTCTATTACCTGGAGAAATGGGATACAGTAGCCAATGGTCGTGCCATTGAGCTACTCAGAGCCAAGACTGACGTTTGCATGGAAAGACGGGCTTATATATATATCTAACATTAGTAATCCAGATGATTGACATAAGCTAATGCTTCTCACGAACAAAGTGATGGATGGCAAGCATCAGCATATAAATAAACCTACAGAAACTATCTAGTATTCAGAAGAGGGATTGTATCTTATATATAAGAATTCCGGCTGGAACGAAAGATTCGGCTGACTAGCAGCCCCTACAGATCGACGAGTGCCATCCTCCTGGATCCTAAGCTCCGCCTCCATCACTGTGTCGCAGCTGCGA